CTGTATTGGCTGCTCAGTTTTTCTGTAAACCTAACACTACTCTAAAAAACATAGTAACTAGAAAAAAGAAGACAACTTGAAGTGATGTTTCCACCTCCATATAAATTGGTTTAAAGCTAGCTGGTGGTGTCCATGTGCCAGACATTTTACTCTGGGCACTTCACGTTTATGAACTCATTTCAGCGTACAAGAATTCTGTGTAGTAAAATATGGAGGCATTTGACAAATGAAGAAACCGAGGCCCAGAGAGGTTAAATGACATGCTCAGTTCACATGACTGGTAAGTAGTGGAGTTAAGATTTAAACCCACACAGCAGGGCTCCTGCTGCTGAGCTCCTACCCACGTGTCACCTTGTGTGGCCCTTATTGAAACTGCTTGCATTGTAAAAGAGGATATCAGAATGGGGAGGAGTCCCAGAAAAGAGCACTAAGTTTCAAACAACACTTATTCTGGAATAATTTCTATAAAATAAAATTCGCCCATTTTAAGTGTTCAGTTTCACGACTTTTGGAAGAAGGCATATACCAATGTAAACACCACCACAATCAAGAATTAGATCATTTCCATCACCCCAAAAAGGTTTGTCCTCTCCTGCTCGTGCCCAGGCAAACCCCATGCCCACCTCCATGCCTCAGGTCACCACCAATCTGCTTTCTGTCAGAGTGGGTTGTTGTTGACTTTTCCAGAGTTTTCTATGAACGGGATCGCATGGTATTTTACCCTTTGGTAGCCGGCTTCTTTGGGGAGGGGGTGCTCAGCGCGATATTTTTGAGACTCAACCATACTGTTGCATGTAGCAGTACTTCATTCATAAGAGACTAATTTCTAATGACAGGATTTCAGACACAGCAACCCCCAAAGGAGAAATGCATGCTTTTATGTAGACCCCTTAAATTATACCTACCCTGGTCAGTCTGCAAGGGAGGGGACGCACTGGGCCACATCAGGCTGAACGGGACCCCAAATGGGCTACAAGCACCAGACGTTATCCAAGGAGCCAAGTAGCTGCCCGCACAAGTTCTGGACAGAAATGGCAGGGTGGTCGTGGAAAATGGATTTTCCCTTTTCTAGACTTCATTTTCTTCTTTGAAGAATGTAAAGGATCGCCTTGCTCTGCTTTCTTCATTAGAGAAGACTTTGAACAGCTTTGGGGTCCCAAATAAATTGTTTTGCACCTTCAAACATGCTGTTATAATGACTAATGATAAAGAAAATGGAAATGAGAGAGATGGAGGAAGTGTAGCCCAAGGCCAAGTACAAGCGCTCAACGCCGTGTGAACATGGACACTAGGGGGCGCTGCCGGCCAGGAGGAAGCGAGAATTTCCCCCAAGCTCTTCGTACAAGGCATCCACACCCGTTAAAAGTGGTTGTGATAACACTACAGATTTCTGAATCTGAGAAAGCCAGCCAGTTGGGTCTGATATCTGGCCAACGTAGGACACTGGAATATATGAAATATTTGACCAACCTGACTCCTTTAATTGCAATCCCCTCCGTGAGCACCAGACCAGACCACGACCCTGGCCGCGACCCTGCGTTGCCAAATCACTTTCCCAAAGGAACCAATGTTTGTTTTGTTGCTAGGTTCCCCTTTTAACTTAACAAGTAGGCGAGCTGGAGCCTCTTCTTTGATTGTATAGATTTAAACTACTAGTTTTTTCATTCTTCTTACTGTGAGTAATCATTAATAATGCCCACTACAATGATTTCTTAGTCATGTAGGCTTTCAAATGTTTCAGGTCAGTCTGATTCACTTCAACAAACACGGATGCGCGTGATACGTGCAGGGCGCGCCGCTGGCTCCCCAGCTGGCTACAGAGGCGAAGCCCACTCTAGACGCATGGTTTCTGCACCCAGGAGCTTGTGATAGTCCTATAAGGGAGAGAAATCGAATACGTTACCACGTATAACTCAAACACAAAGTGATACATAGCTCAGGAGTGCTGCGAGGTAAGTGCCGTGGAGCCCGCAGGAAGGTGAGACTTCCCACCCCAAAAGGCCACCTCGTCAGACAGGGTCTTCCGAGCCGCGCTGGATGAAAGAGCACCCTGTGCCTCCCTCACTTCTGTTCTCCTTGCTCTGCTTCGGTCTTCCCCATAGTACTTGCCACGGGCTCCTTCCCCATTGCATTGTTCCTCCTTGTCAGTTTGTGCCTTGTCTGTCTCCCCACACGGGTGTGTCAGCCCTCTGAGGGCAAAGACTGGGGAGGATATTAGCTGGGCCTCCACTGAGACCCCGGTTGGACTTCCTGGGACATACCCAGACTTAGGAAGGTGATTTGGCCACTGAGCTCAAGAGCCAAGAAAAAAGAGGGCGAACAGTCCACACCCTTGGACTCAGGCATCACGTCCAGGGAGTGTGTCCGGGGAATGCAATCCCCGTGGCCACCTCCGGTGGCAGGCAGGTGCCGGCTTTCTTCCCTCTGGCTGCTGGGGGTCTGCAGCTCCTGCTCCTGCAGAGTCCACAGCAGCCCCGTGCCCTCCTCCCTGAAGCCCTGCAGGAGCAGATGCCAAACAGCAACTTCCGTGCAATCCCACGTGGCAGGGACTGTTCTACGCCCCCTCGGGCATTCGCCCTTTTCACTCCTCTAGGAGCCTTTTGAGCGAGGGGCTTCTTACAGATGAGGCGAGTCAGGCAAAGAGAGTCACTGTCCAGGCAGGTTGTGGTGGAGTCGGGATGTGACCCCAGGTATTCTGACTACAGACGCGTGCTCAGAATCCATTGCGTGGCTCTGCTTCTGACTGGAAGATGGGGGTGGAGGGGGCACATGTGGACTGTATGGATGACATATGGACACAAAGCATTCTGTTTCATCTAGAACAGAGGTCTGCTGCCTTCCTGGTCTCCCAGGGCTTCGGTTCAGTTCCCGAAAGTGCATCCATGAACTACTCTGTGCAAGCTTCAAATACTCATTTTCTCTTGAGAGTCGGGGCATGGGGAGGCACGGGTAAACTTGTAGAGGCCTCGGGTGTGAGGCCACTGAGTACCTGTAGGAGGGGTTAAGTACACTTTAATGATCACAGCCTGACCACTTACCAGTTCCGTGAGTCTGGGGATATTACACAGCCTCTCTGAGCCTCCACTTTCTCATCTGTAACAATTAGCAGGAACCACATAGTAGCTGCTCAATAAATATTCCTTTAACCGTCATGGTATAATTTAAACTAGTAAAAAGTTTTAAATAACTTGATGTCTAACAATAGAGAAATGCCATCGAACATGGTAGTTTTAGACACTGGAAGAGTCTGAAACCATTAAAAAGTACATTGAAAAATGCACAACAAACAATATAGTAAAAAAAAAATGCTGGGTACAAAAACGGTATCTACCTTTGATTTTTAAAATATCCTGAAGGAAATACTCCCCAATGTTAGGTGTTTATCTCTGGGTGATAGGACGAGACGGTGACAAGTTTCTTTTCTTTTCTTTTCTTTTTTAAGACTTTATGTATTTATTTGACAGAGAGAGACATAGCGAGAGCGGGAACACAACTAGGGTCAGTGGCAGAAGCAGGCTTCCTGCTGAGCAGAGAGCCCGATGCGGGGCTTGATCCCAGGACCCTGGGACCATGACCTGAGCCTAAGGCAGATGCTTAATGACTGAGCCACCCAGCACCCCAACAAGTTTCTTTATTATACTTTTTCACATTTTCTAAATGTTCCACAAGGAGTTTGCCTTTGTTCACAATCAGACAACACATTGTTTACAAAGTTAGCTTCCTTTCATTTTATACCTTATCGGTTAAAGCTTTAGCACGAAGAGTAGAACCAGAAGTGGAGGGATCAGGGGAAAAGGTGAGGGGAGAGGAGAGAGCTCAGTTTCACTGGCATTTACTGAGCAACTGCTATGTGCAGGCACTGTGCCGACTGAGTGCGATCATTGCCAGGCAGACAAAGCACGGGAATGGCACGTGCAAAGGCCCTGGGGTGTGAAACAGCAGGCAGGCTGAACAGCAAGTAGGGCCTGTGGGGGAGAGGAAAGAATGTGGCTGAGAGATGGGCAGGCTGGAAATGCTTTGGGGGACCCTGTCAGATGTCAAGGGGATCCGACTGAGTCCTGAGGGCCCTGGAGCTCCTGTGGGTGGGTTTTGGGGTTTTTTGTCAGTTAATGAAGCAGACATCAGTTGACAGTCCCCTTCTGGGTACTGCCTGCACAGAGGCCCACAGACCCCGTGCCTTGTTTTATGGCTGGCTGCCTCCTGCCTGGCCGAACCTTGCTTTTGCTTAAGGAACCCTGGGAATCTGCACAGAGGGGTCCCCCAACTTGTAAGGCGCCCTTCACTTTTCCCCCAGTGTGAGCCTCAGAGCCAGTAATGGAATGTCCCTCTGCACAATATGCACCCCTTAGCTGTGCCCTGTTCGGTTCCCTGAGCACAGAGCTTGTTAATCCTGGCCCTGCCCTGCAGGGATGGACCTTAGAGGTCATTGAATCCAAAGTCTTTAATTACAAAGGAGAAAACCAATCCTCAGAGAGGGAGGCTTGTCAAAGGCCATAGATAAGACCCGCTGGAAGAAAGGGGGCTGTGTTTTCACGTGCAGAATCTGCTTTCCTCGAGAAACCCAGGCGAGATGGATGAAAGTTTCTGAACTCCTTCATTGATCAGTTTTTATTGAGCGTCTATTATGCGCCAGGCCGCATTGAGTTCCCCGGAGACCAAGACGATCAGGCGCGGCCCCTAATGCTGGTGAATAAGGGCATCGACGAGTTAAATTCCGGGAGCTATTGGGGGGGGGGGGTAGAGGAATCTCCCTGAGGAAAGGCCCCCTCCCTAGCTTCTCGGGCTCCGGAAACCTGGGCGCGAGGAGCCTGGGAAGGGCTGCCCCTCTGGCGCGCAGCCTCCCCGGCACAGCCCGCTCCGGCCCCGGGAAGGGCAGCTCTCGAATTACAACAAAAGGGGCTGGAGGCCGGGCCTGCTGCCGTGGCCGCCTCCCGGGAAGGGGGTGGGTCCGGGGAGGGGTTTGCCTTCCGACTCTCATTAAAAGCACCGGGAAAAGCGTAAAGGAGCGACTCCAGCCTGCGGCGGCCACAACGTGCAGCCCGCTTTCTCCAGCGGCCTGAGACGTCGGCTCGCCCCCTCTGCTCGGGAAAGGGGGTCAGCGGCGACGGACGCGGAGAGGGACCACCGTGGGAAGTGCTGGCCCCTGCTGCCCTGCTGCCAAGTAAGAGCGCTCCCTGCCCCTCCCCTCCCCGCGGCGGTAGGCAGGGAAGCGGGAGCGTCCCGGTGGGGTCTCCAGGCTCCACTCCCTGCGGAGCTGCCTCTCGGCGGTGCTCGGGGTTCCCGGGACCTGTGCGGCGGACACTCCGAGCGAGGGCTACTTGCTCGGAGAGATGCTAGGACCCGCAGGCTGACGGGGTGCCCTTTCCGACTCGGGCCGACCCGCCCAGCCCCACCTCTCCTGAGCCAGACGAGGCCATGCAGCTGGCGCGCCCCGGAGAGCAGGGCGCTCGGTTCCTTGCTTGTTGGGGGCGCCCGCGACCCGGCAGGACGGAGCTAGTCGAGGCTCTGGCGCTCTAGGTGCCTAGGAGGGTGAGGCGGGGGGGCCAGGGATACGCGGAGTTAGGGCTTTTGAGGAGGTGGAGCGCGCGCGGGGAGCGGGGGGCGCCCTGGAATAGGTCTCCGGTGCTGCGGCTTTGGGGATACGGAGCGCACCGGGCTGGGGCAGAGTGGGTGGGGGCCATCGGGGCTGTGCCTGGGTGCTCTAGTGCCCACTGCCTCGGAATTGGGCCTTCTCCCCAGCCTGCTGGAAAGGCTCGGCTGAGCGCCGGAGAGCCGAGTCCGGTGCGAGGACCGGCGCGATCCGCGCGCGAGGTATTCCCTCCCACGTCGCCCTGGCTCGTCCCGGGACCAGGCAACCTCTCCCGCCGTTGCCACAGAGAGGCCCTGGAGTAGGAAAGAACCAGCACAAGCTACCCCGCGAGTCGTGCATGCAGGGTCGCCTCGGGGGTAGAGCAAATCTTAGTCTAGTGCGGATACTCCGGCGGTCCTCAGTGCCTGCAGTTTTTACGCAGGCGCTTTGGCCACTGCGCTCTGCACACACTCCTCCCAACCCCAAATTTGGGAGCCTTCTAATGTAGCAGCCTGCTGGAGGTGTCAGAAATCAGCGCCGGAATAGAAATGACTGGAAGAAACAAGCGGAGACCACCAAAAAAACCAGCGCGGGTAGGGTGAGGGGACGCGGCGGAACTGGCGGGGTGGGGGCGGGGGCACTGAACTACTCAGGATGCTTGGAAACCTCAGGTCCAGGTGAGAAGAACGATGTGCATGAAAGTCAGAAACATGCCCCAAATTAATTTCGCCCCCTAAAATCTTTGAACTGCTGAGTTCTTAAAAGCAGTCCAATCGTTTCTTTTTGAAGAGAAGGAAAAGCACTGAAGCTCAAGGCCCCTGAGTTGATCAGTGTGGGGCCTCGAAACCCCTTCCCTTACTCCAGCTCCTCCCTTATGCCACCGCGAGCCTGTCTGTCCAGGAATCCCCAGAGCCCATTTGTCACCCTTGCTGGAATTATTTAGTTATTTATGGTGTATTCTGTACTTAAAATGGTCAGGGATGGGGCTTAAGAGGAAGGCAAAGTGTTCATTTCCTTGGTCAGTGCCCAGATGAGTGAGTGACTCACTGGACCCTGCCTCAGCTAAATCATTCACTCGTCTCCCTCTTCCTTTTGTCCTGTTCTCCTGCCTGGTCCCTAGTATCTGCCTTGGGAAGGACCATCAAACCCATGGCAAAGTGTATGCCCCATGGGCCCCTGGAGCTCTTGGGGGCCCAAGAAGACCCAGTCTCAGTGGTGTGTGTACGCATGAATCTGTTGGTCTCCCTGTGACTTTGTATTAAAAAGTGACTTGGTCTAAGTGAATATGAAACTTAGGTCTGAAGACAAAGTATGCACTTGACATTACAGGTTGGCTGACATTTTGATGCATGGCAGACAGGAAAATTCTGCAAAGAGGCTTCTGTGTGTCTCCTTTCCAGCTGGGTTCCTGGCCTGGCTTCTCCTGGCCTTTTGCCACGTCCTTGTCATCTGACCTCTGGATGACCAGTGTGGAAGGGTCTTTCTTGTGAGGGAAACAGATTTTCTGTGCTCTGGGGATGGCCATCGGTGAAGCTTTGTGATGTCCACCCAGGTTCTGCAGTGTGTATTTAAAAATTATTTTATATTCTGAAAAATTTCAAATATGCACGGAAGTAGAGAGAAGGCCCCCATATCTTCTCACCCAGCTTCAGATTATCAATATTTTGCCACACTTGCTTGTAACTATCCCTTTGCTCTTTCTTCTCTCATTGAAGTATTTTAAAGCAAATGCCAGATTTCAGATTTGATAATCATTCCATCCCTGTGTATTTCAGTGTGATCTTGAAAAATATTAAATAACCGTGATGCCATTATTACACCTAAGAAAATTAACAATGATTCTTTACTATCATCTAATACCCAACCCATATGCAAAAATTTCCCAGTTTTCCCCCAAATGCCTTTGTAAAGGTGATCTGAGTTCTGTTGGTTTTTATAATCTATGTTTATATCATATGTTATTCCTTTCAAACTATGTTTCTTTCCACTGTGTCATTTGGTCATTATGACGCCCCACTAAAGAGTGAGATGGGTCCTGAATTCATTTTACGCCTGAGTAAACTGGCAAAGAGATAAGCTGTCCAGGTGGCATAGCTGGCGATTGGCAGAGCCAGGACCTGACCCAGCCTCCTCCTTTCTGGGCGGCGGTGGTTCTGTTTCTCAGTGCCGCTCCTGGACTATCAGCTGTTCTCAAAGCGTTCATTTTGGCTCTGGCTTCATCCTGAGCTGATCACTTCCTAAGCACCTGCTGTCAGAAATCCCTGTGTAAATATTGAGTAATTGGCCATTTGGCACTTGAGGTAAATCAGCCGCAAAGTCAGGAAGCCTGGGTTTATTTCCCAGCTTGTTATGAAATTGTAGGAAAACAATGTCCCTCTTGAGGACTCGAGGTGGCCCTCTCTGAACTAGGAAGCATTCCCCTGCCATTCTCGGGCTCCTGGATCTGGGAGTGGGACGAGTGAAAAGACTATAGCTGTAATTCCTGGACAAGACCAAGGCCCCAGAAAGAAATCTCATTGAGAACAGTTGCCCCTCCTGGAGTGCTGCCTGAGTATTCTGGCAGCTGGAATCTTTTGTCGGAGATTCCTAACTCCGATGACGGAGAAGAGGCTTCCCTCTGAAGTCCTTCATTCACGGACAACTTTGTTTATTCTGCCGCTGTCCGCTGGGGATACAGAACACCAGAATTTTGTACTTTTAGCCTTTTCGTTACTTGTGTTTATTTGCTTTGAAGTCGGGTGATAGATCCTTTTTACATCTTACTACTAAGGCTCATGAATTGGAATTCTCCTTCCTTGGCTGGCCATGTGGGAAAATGGAATCTCTTACGTCTTCACCCCTAGATTTTCCGCTCGTATGTTCATTGCCCTGAAATAGACATTGGATGAGCAGATCTTCCATAAAACAGCCAGTCAGGGACAGTGAAACTGGCTGCTTCAATCCCATTATTCCACTGTAGGGACTCATCAGGGCACTGCATTGACCTGGAGTCACACTGTCTTCTGGGAACCACCAGTTCTCTTCCCCTTTGCTGATAGGCAGGCTCCGTGGGGATATAGTTTCTCGGTGATTGCATGTCCGTGGTGGCAAGTTGCTTCCTTCCTTTGACAGCTTCGGGAGCATTGGGAGGTATAGTTCCCTGCTCCCAGGGCTGCCTGGATTCGGAACAACTTGTGATGACGACTGTTTTATTTCCCTCTGGGGAAGGGTCTTGGCCATCCGTCCGCGTGGCCATGTCACACGGACTCAGCTGCGCTGCGGACCTTGGCTGGGTCTTGAGGCCTCAGATGAAGTGGCCGCACCCTGCCCTGCTCCAGGCCCACAGAACCAGCGGGACTAGCAAGCGTGGGCCAGAGAAGGAAGGGCCAAGCAGATTCTGCAGATGAGCATCCGCAGGACACGCTGGGTCGCTTCTGTCCCGCAGCCATGTCCAGTCTGAAGTGAGTTCAGATCTTCTTGTGTTAGCGATTCTAGCAGTGATCCTGCTGTTGGGCATGGCGCATGCCTGGCGGGGAACACAAGTTGGCCAGGTGTGCGGGCTGGTCGTCCCCCTCGCCACCTGTGTCTGAGAAGCCTTCAGGCACCAGGTCCATCCTTTCGAGGGGGATAAAGCATGAGGGTGACAGTTTAGATAAGATTTCCGTCCAGATTTCAGAAAAATCTTTTCACACTTCTCTTGGCAGGAACAGCACACCCAGGCAAGTTTCATGTGGCAAGGACGGGTGCAGAGTAAGAGTGGGCTCAGCAGAGAGTGAGGAGGTAATTAGGGTCACAGCTAATTTCTTCTTGCCCAAGGCTTTTGATCCCTTTGTTTGGAGTATTTTTAACTTGGTGTTATAATATCATGGGTGAATGATGACACATTTTTTTAGTTTTTTTCATTGTCAGAATCTCTGTTACATAAGCAGACACAGCTAGTCCCATGGAGGTTTTGTGCAAACTACCATATGTCCTCCTTGATGCATCCCCAACACAATGCTTGTGTGGAAAACCATGCTGCTTGCCTATAAAGCACACGATTTATGAGAACAGAATTTAACGGCGATGACTTGTGAACAACTTACTTTGCTCAGTTTCTTTACACTGTCCTTGAACTTGGATCCATGAACTCCCCCGCCCCCACCCCAGCCTTGTCCTGGGGCACCACTGCAGCAATGAGATAGGTATCTTTCCAGAGTGCCAGCACGACCCAAAGATCTAGTAAGATCTTTTCTTAAATTTCTAATTCAAATACCAATATCCTTTCCTAAATATCTTTCTAAATCAAATACAAATATAAAATGGAGTACATTCTTAAAGTCAACTCCTCCCCCTCCCCGAGAATAGCATATATAGGTAAAATGGCACCAATCCTAAGCATACATATGTGTAAACTTTTGTTCTTATTGTGGTAAAATAGACATAACTTAAAACTCACCATTTTAACCATTTTTAAGTGTACAATTCAGTGGCATTAAGTACATTCGACTTTTTCATCTTCCCAAACTGAAACTTTGTCCCTATTAAACACTAACTCCCTATTCCCTCACCTCCCAGACCCTGACAACCATCATTCTACTTTCTGTCTTTCTAAATTTGACAACTCTAGGTAC